CCGTACAACGAACGTTTTCTAATAAAACGATCGAGTACTCCAACCTTATATTTAAGTCAACATCGCGACTAATAAAATAAATATAACCTTACAAATAATATTTAATAAATAGAATAACCCAAAAAATTCTATAAATCGAACGGGGCGCTACACAAAACCTAATTAATCAATCTAATTGATTAATTTATATTACTCCTTTAATTGACATCTAATCAAATTAGATTTAATTAAATAATTAAATTATTTAATTAATTCTTGTCAATTAATCCAACTATTGGAAATACCAATTTTAAAATTGTCATCACCCAAAATTTGGTGTGACCCTTTTAGGTTCACGATTAATACTAGTAGTGGATTTACAACTCGTTTGTAATTTAATTTAATCTAATTAATTTGTATTCTTGAAATTAACTCCTTAATTTCAAGAACCCACAAATCATGGTAACACCTAGCAAGTAGCATGATTATCTAGTGTAAAGTGAAATAGCGAGTAAACCTTTTCAATTGCAAGTGCATACATGTATAATCCTTTCGACAACTAATTTCCTGATTAAATCTTGGGCATGAATTTATAAGTTGAAACTCAATTGATTTAATAACTATGATTCTATTTCAAGTTTAGTGATTCCTTTATGAATCCATATTCATCCTGTCTTCGCCAAGGTCTTTGAATCACAAACTATGAAAAGCATAAGAAATTCACTTATCAATATAAGTGTCGAATTCTTTGTTGGCCATAGATAAACCTCCATACATATTAATACAGTACCCAAAATATCTCTTTTATGATTGTCCAGCAATCAAAGGATAAATCAAAGTAAAGCACAACATGCACAAGATTACTATCTTGCCTCCAGTCAGAGGATCGCTCTTGTACTATTGCAACATGAAAATTCTTATTCGACAGTTAAAAACTTCCAGTTAAGAATTTTCATCGGGCCATGTTCAGTGAACTTGTTCTCCAACAAGCACCCGCATATATGCATTTTCGTCCACACGCTAATGTTGATGGAATGCAACATTCTCATCCAATTGGCATACATATTATGCACAAGTCTTACTGGGTTATTCGATGTCCTGTCTCGAAACACCCATCGACTTGGAACTTATTTAAGATCACAGCTTTAAAGACATGTTCCATGATTACCATTATATGCGCAACTATGCCTCATAGCTAATAATGATCTAAGGACTTTATCATATGTATAAATATAGGATAAATGCAAATACATAAGATAAAGCTATGCCTCAAAATAATATAATTTCCAATAAGTTGTCTTTAAAAGTAGAAATAGATCCAATCAGATTGAAACGCCAGGTATTCTACTCTAACAAGTGAAGGTTCCTCCGAAGAAGGGACCTCTTGACATTTTGCTGAATAGTATTGCTGTGGTTTAAAAAAAAAAAACTTGTTTTGCTATGGTTATTTGGTAATTGGGCAAGATGCCTTTTAGGTGATGAACACCTGTGACTTATTTTGTTTTGTTGCTCTGAATTTTGCATGTGGGTATTGAACTTATTATGTTATTGTGTAATGAATATTCTGCACTTGGTTCTATTGCTATCCTACACTAATGCAGGTTCTTTTGAAGGAGTTTTCACTTTATATGCCAAAGGGGGAGATTGTAGTTACTTGAGTTTTGACATTAAATTAACAAACTCCAAATGAGGCGCAGAACCTTCTGTTGTAAATATTTTTACCGGAGTAAAACCGAAAGATTCATTCCCCGAGTCGTATCGCAAGGAAGGTTAGCCGGATTATTATGCATGTTTATTCAAACAAAAATAAAAGAAATAAAATTCCTAAACATACTAATTCAGAGATTGGTTTTGATTTTTGATTATCAACTACTAAAATTCAAGCAAAGCAAATTAAGATAGCAAAGCAACAATGAAGAACATGTAAGATTTAAGAAGCTAGGGAGTCCGGGATATCCGTTTTGGTTCGAATTGTAATTAATGGGCAAGTGATTGTCCGGTTAAGTGATTTGAATAACCTGCTCGTTCAAGTACTCATCCTCAATAGCTCTTCGTAACAAGAGAATAAACTTGAACGACAAATTAACAAGTCATTTAGCACCTAGGCAATATAGTTATGAACAAGCCTAGCTTATACGAGCCTATTTCGATCGACTCCTCCCCTTTCGGTTCTAAGAGTCGATTAAGATATACTAGAGGGTGGTTAACCAACTAGTCAAATAGAATCACCAACATCATGTAGGAATAAATCGAATTCAATTGAAAACAATTGGAAGTTGAAGTGTCACGTTTCAACAATTCTCAATACTCAAGAACGATAATTGAAAACCCTTATGAAAGATCAACTCGTATAAAAGAATAATCAACGAACACAACAATCACAAATGATTCCAAAACATTAATCCCCTATCCCTAAAATAGAGATTTAGCTACTCATAATCGAATTATCAACACAAACCACCATAATCAAAGTGAACATATCCATAGATTAAATGTATAGAAAAACTTACGGTTAATGGAAATTGAACGATGAATCCGATAAACAAGATTAATCTAAAAGCGGTAGCAAAATTCGAGTTCAAATCCGTGTTGTACGATGAAAACTATAAAAGACAGATGAAAAACGAGTGAAAGAGAGAGGGGGTAGGGTTTTCTATGTCTGGAGTCGAAAGATATCTCCCAATTGAGTTCTCGATCTAATATATATAGTAGCAGGGGCTCGCGGGCGTTCCACGGCAACACGGCGCGGCAAGAATCTTCACCGCGGCGCGAAGCAGGCAACACGGCGTGGCAAGACTCTTCACCATGGCGTGGGGTAAGCAACACGGCATGGCAGGGGTGTTCTCCGTGGCGCGAAGCATGCTCCACGGCGTGGTGTTGGGATTAGGCGCTCTGAAGGCCCGTGATGGGTAGGACGAGATGGACCGCGGCATGAGGGAGAGCAGACTGCCGCGGCGCGATGGGGGTCACGGCGCGGGGACCTGGAACAGTTCTCTGAAGGGGTCGCGGCTAGTGCCGCGGCGCGAGGCAGGCGCAGTGCGCTGGGCTGACTGCTAGCTTCCGTGCACGACTTCACGTCTCGGACTCGTTCTTGCTCATTTGGACTCGTTCTTCCGCGAGGCAGGCGCGGTGCGCTGGGCTGACTGCTAGCTTCCGTGCACGACTTCACGTCTCGGACTCGTTCTTGCTCATTTGATTCTGTTTTCTCCTGTGTGTCGCCAACAAAACACTCCATCCAATTATGTTCACTTGGTCCATTTATCCTAAAAAATAAATCCTTTTGAATCTTCCAACCTGCGCACCAAAGACGAAGAAAAACAAAAAAAATACACGAGAAACACAAAGAAAACCAAAATAGAACAAGACGTGCAATAAACTATAAAAACGAATAAAAACCTATGAAAAGACCTAAAACGGGGGAAAAGAAAGGCAAAATGTCACCGAAAAATGTAACAAAAATGGGACAAACACCTTTATTGGACAAGCATGCAGGCAGGAATATTTAAGGGAAGTCTGTTTACATTATTTTAATTAATTCCCTCATATTAGTTATTTGAAATTAAATAATATCATTGTTATTCGTGCAAGATTAATGCAATGACTTCCAGATGCACTTACCTTGTGGAATTGATCCAACCGTACAAACAAAACATTCCATAATTAATGGCGGCAGAATCAATCAAGAACTTACCTTGTGGAGCGTGGGTTGGCAGAAGACACTTTTGGATTTACCATACTTAAGCGCGGGATAAAAGCTTGGGGATTGTATTGAGCATTTCGTAGAGTGAATGAATGTTGATTTTGATTAACACATGCAACAATTTTTTCTTGAGTGCTTGATATTAATTTATGAGAGTTTAGATTTTATTGTGTAGTGAATCGAGATGGTGTTCTCGATCACATAGAGTGAGTGTATTATGTTTTGATGTTGTTGTTGAACTAAGTGTTCGGGAGGAACAATTAGATTAGTTTGAGGGATTCAAACTAGAAAATCCACAAGGGATTTGTGGTCGGAAAAGTAATAGGATAGGTGATTATTTCAAAGGTAGTGGAGAGGGAGTCGACATTGTAAATCATTTGAGTAATGACTGTAACATCTATGCTAATGAAAGAGTTCCGGAGGAAGAGCGGGATGCTCTTCTAAAGGTTCATGATTTGTAGTACCTCTGCTTTCGCAAATTGCTTGAACATTCATTCAAGATTACAACTTTTCATACTTAGCGCAATTTTGATATACTAGTGTGTATTCCCCCACAACTTCATATAGCTAAGAGAGTAAATTGGTCGGGCAGGCCGGTCGAATAAACCGAGTAAATCACCTGGTCGAGCGAGATCCGAACGGGGTGGTCGTGGTCGAGCTTCATAGGAACAAGAGCCTCTGGACTGAAAGACAGCTTAAAGGGGATTTCAATACAAGGAGAGTAGGTCGAGCAGAAGCCCTCGGATAGCCTGGTCGAAACTCGACCTGCAGCAGCAAGTCGATCTAGAACTGGTTGAGTTTTCGGAAAGATCTCAGAGGATTCAAAACCCCACGTGATGAGGACACGTGGCAGGGCCAGAGTGGTCTATAACTTATAAACGTTTCTGACACACCTTCAGTGTGTGTGGTACAAATGGGCAGCTCGGGCAGCTAACTCAGCACTTCTGGGCAACTTCTAGAATAGGTACCTCACCCCTATATATAGAGGTGAGACTTGCGATTTTAGCCAATACGTTCATTATACTCTTTGAGAGAGTTCATCTTATACACATACTCATTTAAGCATCGAAGACTATTCACCGGAAAACTCTTTCGGTGTGAGAGTTTTTGTAGAAACGAGGAGTTCAACCGACGAAGGAGAATACGAGCAAACCGATTTTCAGCTGGTCGGAGTTTCTACATTACCGAAACCAATACACCAAATCAACAAACTACTACCAAATTCGAGGGAAATTGTTGAATAGAATATTTAGTTTGCACAAAATAATTAACAATTGAAAATGACAATTTATGTTGAATAAATGAGGTAAGTTTTGAGAGAGACTCCGAAAAGCCGTTGGTCGTGAGAGCAACCCATCCATCCATCCACCTCAAAACAACATTATGCTCCACATTTTTTCATTTTATTTGCTTAGAATCTGTCTGTGTTGCCAATATGAAGAAGCAAAACTCCAGAAATCACAACCATCTAGCCCAGGTACTACTGCAATTACCTCGATTTATAATAGTTGTTATTATTACTTTTTAGTTTTTTGAGATGACTTGAGATAGATTGCAGAGAAGAAACTGGGCTGAAATATTGTGTTTCGCTTGCGCGTGCCTACAGCTCTCCTGGCGGCGCGTGGTGGTCCGCAAGTGGCTCAACATCCCTACCACCAATTCGGATTACTCTGCGGATACCGATTCTGGCTCGGATTCCGAACCAGGTTCACCTTCAACCACCACCACCACTCTCCAACCAACTCTGCTTCAATATCCTCCCTAATAATATTCTCTATTTTCCTTTTTCCGTGCGTTTTGCAGAATTCTGTAATTGCCCGATAGACCATCGTTTCGGGATTGATAACCTAGATGAACCTCAACTGGATTCTAATGGTACCGTACTTTAGATCATAATTCTTATTGACGATAATTGTTAAGATGCAG